AGCCATTTCCTGTCACTGAAATTCAACAAGCATATCTACTCGGTCGTAGTGGCTATATAGAACTCGGCCAAGTGTCTGTTTACAGCTATAGTGAATATGATTGTCAATTGTTAGACATTTCACGTTTTGAACAGACATTTAATTTTTTAATCAAACGTCATGAAGCATTGCGAATTATTTTTCCTAATGATACACAACAACAGATTTTAGAACAAGTGCCTTATTACACAATCAAGATTGAAAAGTTAAACGACCAGCCTAAAACGACAATAACGAACCTATTAGAATTTAAAAGAACATTGTTATCTCATCAAGTTTTACCGCCTGCACAATGGCCATTGTTTGATATTCAGATTACTCAATGGGATTCACAATTACGACTACACATTGGAATCGATGCTCTTATTTTGGATTTGTGGAGTTTTAATATTTTGTGGCGTGAATTAGCACAAGTCTATTACCAACATGACCCATGTTTATCTTTCTTGAATCTTTCTTTCCGTGATTATATTCTTTCTGAACGTTATATACGCGAAATGCCAGTGTACTTAGAAGATGCAAATTACTGGAATGCTCGCGCATCTCAGTTTCCGTTGGGTCCTACATTACCGTTGCAGTGTTCACCGCATGAACTGAAAGCACACCGATTTCTTCGACTCAGACAAAATTTAGATCATAAATTATGGCAACAATTGCGACAATTTGTTCATGATTATCAATTATCTCCCACAGGTTTATTGGCAACTGTTTATGCTGAAGTGCTAGCTCAATGGAGTGAAAACAGACATTTTGCAATTAATTTAACATTGTTTAATCGACTGGCAATACATCCACAAATCAATGAAATTATGGGAGATTTTACTTCATTAATTCCTTTAGAAGTGGATTTGAGGGAATCAATGAGCTTTCATCAGCGTGCTCATCACATACAAACACAATTATGGCGAGATCTAGAACATGCATCTTATAGTGGTGTTACCTTCCTACGTGAATTAATGCGATATCATAAAACTCGACAACTGATTTTACCGGTGGTGTTTAC